GTTCATTGATGTTGACTTGATAAAAGCTATTTTGAAAAGCAGGTGCTTGTCAACTGTGGTTTATTGTATTTGTAAAAATGAATAAAGGCACTTTGAATTGTCAAATAAATTATAGAATCTAAACTGTTTTTTGTTGTAGAAACAAACATGTTTGCCCTTTGAACAAAAAAAAGGCTTTTCTGCAAAAATGTGCTGTATTCTGAGTGTTAAATGACTGCTGCTGACGCAAAAATAAATGTAGAATACAAGCTAATGGGAGCTAAATGCAGTCTAAAAGTTAAAGGTGGAAAAATAGCCAAAAGTAGTGTGGAGTATGACTTTTTCCCATGATGAAACTTGTCCTCAGGTTTATTTATGTATTTTGGTTCATAGTTACTGTTGCTGCGATTAAAAAAAAATCTGCGTTTTTATTGGTGCAGCAGGACCACAGGAGTTGTAGTTTGACGGAATTTGAGGCCTCTAATAAAGAGAAGCTGAGTGGCGCCTTCGGAACTTCAACTCCCACAATGCAACACTGCTCAAACTGCTTGCGCAGTCGCCAAAGCGTGTGGGACAAATCCAGAGTCGAAAGTAGCTTTAGCTGTTGAATGACTTTGTACCCGTACGCCTTCACGAAATTTGAGTGCTGGGCACGTCGTGATTAATAACGGAGCTAATGGAGGCCCTCATACCTGTAATAAACAAACTACAAGATGTATTTAACACAGTCGGCGCGGATATCATTCAACTTCCACAGATAGCTGTCGTAGGAACTCAGGTGAGAAGCGTCATTCTGCTCAGAGGCTAGCTAATTGTTAGCCTGCTAGAACCTGTTGTTGCTGTTACGTTCTTGTGTTTATTATTTTTCCCTTTCAGTTTCATGTAGAAGCTATACTTATAGCTGTCTGCGCTGACTCCTTTGATGTTTATTTCTCTTTTTATTTGGCTAATTATCGCTGCATCAAAGTTGGCATTAGCTGCTGAGAAGCTTCCGAATTTAAAGCTTATACACAAACATTTATTATAGGGTCGTGTTTTGCATATAAATGTTTTTATAAATACTTTCAACGTAGTTCGTCCTCTGAACAACTGGTTAATCATAGTGTATATAGGGAGCCTAATCAGTGACTCTGTTGAAGTTACTGTTTTTGTCTCAATTTATTTTAGTAAATGCTATTACTGTAGTTAAATGTTAAAGGTTGAGACAACTCTGTGGGTGAAACACCAAGTTGCGAGTCTTTGGGAGGGTCTCTAAAAGTTAAAATGATTGCAAACAGCATAGATCTGCCATCAATGAATAAAAGTAGCTCAGTGGTTGCTGAGACTCCTTTAGTGTTAACAATACACCCTTGGCTTGTTTGTGTTTATTTGCTTTAATCAGTAGGAGATGGAGATACAAGTTTCTGCCGTTATTGTTTTGTGATTTAGAAGCTGGGAAAGTTTAAGAACTACTATCTGTAACTTTTAACTCTACTGTCAGAAAAATGAAAAGTATCTCAAAATCCTGTGATTCTGTACAAGTAAACTGCACCACAAACTATTGTTGATAAGAAAGTCACGTCACTACCGTACACACTGGAGCCTAATTGGTTTAAAGTGACAGGTTTTGTCTGAAAGGTTTACCTTCTCTGCTCAGCTAATAGGATGTGACCGTCTGTCTCCGACATTCTGGCCAGTGTCCGAGGTTGTTAGAGGGAGACAAGGCTGGTGGGAAGATATTTTAAACAACTAATTTGTCGCTCTCGCCCATATCAATGTCCTGTAAATTCAGTATTCATTATCATTATCATTGTTCAAAATAAAACTATCTTGACTGCTATAGTCTCAAACAAATCTTTCAGATATTCAGTAGTTCTTAAACAGACTAAAATACTGTATGATTACAAATTTCCTGCTTTAGTAGTATTTGCCCAGTACACTATATTCAACTTAACTTTGATAATACCTAATCCATCTCAAAGTACAACCTCATAACAATGAGTCGTGTGAGAGTCTAGCTATGACAGAAACTAAAAAAAGACTTTTATACCTTTTTGCAAATGCAGCTGTAGTGTCTTGGTAGAAACAATGTTACAAATGTCACGTAACTCAATGCCTTTATCTCCTCTGTGCTTCTGTTGCATGTTGATCAGACTGGTTTGTCCCATCAACAAAAGATTCATGTGTGCTTCAACCACCACCTGTGCTTTTGTTTATGACATTGATGCTCTTTTCTCTACAGAGCAGCGGGAAGAGTTCTGTTTTAGAGAGCCTGGTCGGCAGGGACATCCTTCCACGTGGTACTGGCATCGTCACACGCCGGCCCCTCATCCTGCAGCTGGTGCACATAGACTCAGATGACCGCAGGAAAACCACGGAAGAGAATGGTAGCATACTTATCACTTATTTTTTAAGCTTATATTGCTGCTTTTTACTTAAGTTATATAAATTTAGCTCTTCAACCAAATTTTTACTGTTATTTTTTCTAACTGTCTGGTTGGTATTGTTGTTATCTGGTGGTTTAAACAGCATCTCAGATCTGCCAGTATTACTGCGTGTATCTTCTGCTGTCTTCTGAGGATGGCTGCAGAGTGACTCTGCATTGCTGCACTTCAATGCAGTGGCTGCAGATAGCCAGGCTAACCCTATTTTCCTCCCCTGTTGTCTCTCTTTTAACCACAGGACCCAAGAAAAATGGGCGTCTTTACAAAGGTCTTCTTTTCCTTCTTCTTTTCTCGTTGTCTTTTATATCACACATCCCCACAGACCACACCACCTTACCTGCAGCGTTTTGTTGACCCCTTTCTGCCCCGTCCTGCCTATTTCTGTAGGTTTTTAAAGCTGCCCAATCATGTGGCTTCATTTCCTCAGTTCAGACTGGTCTCTGTCAGTTGACAATAGTAAAGGAGAGAATTGTTATCAGAATTACATTTGAAACACTTAAAGTTAATAGTTTAACAAATCCAGCTTGGTCAAAAACAGACTTCCTCTAAATGACTAACAGACTCCACTCTTTTTAAAGTCATGCTTTATTGTTGATTTTTGTGGCTAAAAAGAATTAATCGTTAAATCTGTGTCACCTTCCTGAATGACTTTGTTTTTCTTTGCTTTTTGAAATCCTTTGCTTTCACTCTGATTGTGTTATGAACAACAGAGATGTAAACTCTACTGCAGCTGTGGACATTTTGCAGTGGAAGATTTCCCATCCCATGTTTGCCATTAGGGGGGAAAACAGATAAAAACCTCACATTGGGCCATTTACAAGGAATGTTAGTCATGAATACGTTTCAAAGCTGTCCTCGTGTTTGTGTTTCTACAGGCATCGATGGAGAAGAATGGGGCAAATTCCTTCACACCAAAAACAAGGTGGAGTTTACAAATGTTCTCATTAGTCTTTGGTTTACCAGAAACCATGTGTTTGTTGTAGTTTTTCTGTTCTGTGTGCATACATGTTGGTAAATACACAGTGATTTGGAGATATATGGACATTTGTTGATCATCTATATGAGGTTAGTTTTGATCTACAGCAGTAAGATTTATAACCTGTAATATCATCAAATGACAACCCCCTCACCCACCCCCCAGCTGCTAAAAATATCTGAATGGCTGCAGAGTGAATGTCTGCCATGTTGAGCTCAGTGTGCAGTAATTCTTGGAGTTTGAACAAACAAGCCCTTATGTTCTGGTGATCTCATGACTGATAAAGATTTATTTTTAACTTTCTTATTTAATATATTTTGAAAAATCCCATTGCTTTCTGAAAGTCAAAGATGCTTTCATTTTTATCACCCTGAGTTTATATGATGAAACAATTTGCTTTCAGATCTACACAGACTTTGAGGAGATCAGACACGAGATTGAAGCGGAGACGGAGAGAATTACTGGGAACAACAAGGTGCTGCTTCAGTTCAAACAGGAACAAACAAATAACCAAATAAAGACATTTGATGTGGTTAATTATCAGCAGCTTTCTGTTTTTAGGGTATTTGTGATGAGCCCATTCACCTGAAAATCTTTTCCCCTCATGTTGTGAACCTCACGTTAGTGGATCTTCCTGGCATTACAAAGGTATGGTGGGTGTTTGTTTAGCTTCATGTCCAGATTCACATTTTGTAACATTTATGCTACGTTTATTTTGCAAGTCTTGAAAAACCCTGAACTTTCTCATTGCAAAAAATGTCTTCAAGAATGTTTAAAAAGTCAATTTACCAAATGGTTTTGACTTTTTGGTGCATCTGTGTTAGAATAAATTTTTTACTCATGACAAGACTGGAGCTGTTTTTTATTATTATTTAATGTTAATAGAATTACCATAAGTCTGTTTTTTTTAACAGGTGCCTGTGGGAGACCAGCCCAAAGACATAGAGATCCAGATCAGAGAGCTGATTCTAAAATTTATCTCCAACCCTAACTCCATAATCCTGGCTGTGACTGCTGCCAACACAGACATGGCAACCTCAGAGGCTCTGAAAGTGGCTCGTGAAGTTGACCCTGATGGTAAATGCCATGTGTTTTTGTTTCTTTTGCTACGCCTAGCCTTTATTTTCCTATTCTTTATCATCCTTTTTGTATTCCATTCCTCAGTGTTTGTTACTAGATAAGTGTATTTTTTCTGTTTAGGCAGGAGGACACTGGCAGTGGTGACCAAGCTGGATTTGATGGACGCTGGTACAGACGCCATGGATGTGTTGATGGGCCGAGTCATTCCTGTCAAGCTGGGTATTGTTGGAGTAGTTAACAGGTATTTGTGTACTGCTCTTAAAGCTGCATCGTGGGCAGAGATCGATGCTACAAAACACAGTAAAACTTTTAAGACCACTTTAACTTAATGAGAGTTTTGTGCCATTTTCCCAGGAGTCAGTTGGACATTAATCAAAAGAAATCAGTGGCTGATTCTATTCATGACGAATACGCATTTCTACAAAAGAAGTACCCCTCTCTCGCAAACAGAAATGGAACTAAATATCTGGCTCGAACATTAAACAGGTATGAGGTTAGAATAGATGTGTTGATTTGCTTGTTTTGTAATTTATTAAATGAAATGTACTTCCTGTGCTGACTAAATGCTATCTCGATGTCAGATTATTGATGCATCACATCAGAGACTGTCTGCCTGAGTTGAAGACCAGGATCAACGTTCTGGCTGCGCAGTATCAGTCTTTACTGAACAGTTATGGGGACCCTGTTGAAGACAAGAGTGCCACGCTGCTGCAGCTTATCACCAAGTTTGCAGCGGAGTACTGCAATACTATAGAGGGCACAGCTAAGTACATCGAAACGGCTGAACTGTGAGTTACACAATCCTCTGAACTGCTTGTGCTCTCACGCACCACAGTCAGATGAAACTGCTTCCTGCTTTGATTTCAGATGCGGCGGAGCAAGAATTTGTTATATATTTCACGAGACCTTCGGTCGTACATTGGAGTCCGTCGATCCTCTGGGTGGTCTGACGACTATTGATGTGCTGACAGCAATCAGAAATGCCACGGTGGGCTTTCACTTTCTGTTTCACAAATGATCTTTATCTTAACTTGTACCTTTTTATAAAGGCTCATTGTTGAAATTCTTCGGACAGGGCCCGAGACCTGCCTTGTTTGTGCCAGAGGTTTCCTTTGAGTTGCTGGTGAAGCGGCAGATCAAACGTCTGGAGGAGCCCAGCCTGCGCTGCGTCGAACTGGTTCATGAGGAAATGCAGAGGATCATCCAACACTGCAGCAACTATAGCACTCAGGTGAGACAAGCACTCATTACGAGGTTCAGACAGGTGCTTGAAACCCTTGAAAATGTTTGAGTTTTAACAGTGTTTTCAGGTTTTGGAAGATGCTTGATTCTGTATAAAGTCCTTGAAAGTGCTCGATATTCTAACTGCGCAGTTTTGTGAGTTTGATTAAAAACCTCAATTTGTTATATTTATTTTAAGGCACAAAATAGAAAGTGATCATTTTACCTTTAATGAGGTCTCATAAAACCTTGCTGCCGATTATGGTGCGTTCACACCGAACGCGATTTCAGCGTCAGGAGCAGCAGGTTTACATGCAAAGTCTATGGTGGACGCGCTTCAAGCAACGTCGGGAAGTTCTGCGGCGCCTCAAGCGCGATTTAGAGCATTTGTTCGATCTGAGCGTCGAACGCTCTGATCGTCCAAATCGTCCAAATCGCTGAAGTTAGAAAATCTGAACTTTTGCAGCTCGACGCGCAGCATCAACCAATCAGAGAGACTCCACTGTGTGACGTAGCGACATATTTCCCAACGGGACAGTTTACTGAATGATGTCCACTAACCTGAAACAGACAGAGAGGAGCTTTTAGCTGAAATGAGTGCCTGCAGTCGTGTCCTGATCCGCAGCAATGCGTGGCAGCGACTCGTCAGACTGGAAAAATAGTCCTGAAAGCGAGCTGTGAGCCTCTACTCTGAATTATCTGGTGAATTAATTATGAATTAATTATCTGATGAACGTGACATGCTCTGGCTCTCTGTAAATAAAGCAAAGCCACTTCCTCGTCCGACATTAAACAGAGCCCGACAGAGGAGGGAGGGGCGGGGGCGGCTCTGCCGTGCAGCGCTTCAACAGCTGACCTGCATCTGACCTCAAAGTGCACAAGCTTCAAACTTCAACGTTGACTGCGATTTTGAAGCTGAAATCGCGTTCGGTGCGAACGCACCATTAGAGTGAGTTTGCTTCTTTTCATAGTACCAGCGTATGAGCAGACCCCTCATGAAAAGTCCTCTTGAGCACGTCACTGTGTCTTGCTAGTGAATCACGCCTCTGGTGAATGGGAGAAAGCAGCGTACCAGACAGTTACCATTATAATGACAGCTGGCTCGAAAACACTAGATACAAAACATGGTTGAAACGAGGACCAAATCCTCAAGTAGCTTCCTGCAAAACATACAAGCAGGACCTGCAGCATTTTGCAATGGGAGAGTCCGAGCTCTAGCCTTGCAAAAGATAAGCTAGCTTTCAACTTTGCAGGTAAATTGCAGATTGATTGTTTGAAGGATGTGGATTTTATGTGATCTACAGTACTTTAAAATGTGCAACAACAAAACATTTTTATTGAAAACATTAGTAAAGGTGGTTAGCTAAGGATTTACGGTAGTTACATAAAAAGTAGCTGTGGTTTTGCAGTGTTTCGTCATGTGCTGTTTAGGGTTGGGCAATATTGGCAAAAAAATTAATCACGATTAATTGTGTTATTTAACCAATAACGATTAATTTAATGATTAATTCCCTGGAGTCCCTGGTCACCCTTATGTCCTAGTCACATGATCAATTTAGTGAAAAATATTTGCTCTTCATAAAAATCTGTTCCAAATTGTGTCCGAATTACAGACTTCAGGCTATACATCAAATTTTAAATAGTGTCGATAGATAAATAAATTACAGAACTTTTTATTTTTAGAGAGGAGCACCGAGTGGATCGACTGTAGAAATCGTCAGTCAGTCTGCCTGCTGGCATTAATCGTATTAATCGTCAAGTGCCAAAAAATAATCGATTAAAGTTTTTCTGACGATTAATTGCACACGATACGATTATGCCCAACCCTAGTGCTGTTCCTCTAATATGTTTGGGCTCTTTCTGCTTGTATGTTCTTTTCATATTAACACCAACTTGCAGAATTTGATGCAGTTGCACAGTAATTTAGATTGTTCCTCTTCACATATGGAACACTGTGCAGTGGTTACAAAACTCAGTGGAGAAAGATGCACAGAGATAGACTGCTCCGAAGTTTGATGCTGGAAAAGTTTAACAATTTACCTTGGAAAAGTGTTTAAATTTTATTGTAGGAAAAGTGTAAGAACCCTTTTAATAAAATACACATTTTTTAATAAATAAAACACGGTTATGTTGAAAAATAGACAAAATTGTTGTGCTAATGATGAGATTTATTTTGTCCTGCAGGAGCTGTTGCGGTTTCCAAAGCTCCATGATGCCATAGTCGAAGTGGTTACCTCTCTGCTCAGAAGGAGACTCCCAGTCACTAACGACATGGTCAGGACCTGCATCCATTGAATCATACAGGACCTTTTTAAGGAAAGTGAAGTTCTGACCACGCTTTTTTCTTTGTTTCTTTAACAGGTTCATAACCTGGTTGCCATAGAGCTGGCTTATATCAACACTAAACACCCTGACTTTGCTGATGCCATTGGCCTCATGAATAATAATCTAGAAGTAAGAGGTTATATTTTCTTTATATGGAACATTTGCTTTTTGCTGCTCAACAACTAATAGTTTTTATTGGTAATGAAATATTGCTCCAAATATTAGTGTCAGAATAAAAATGAAGCAATAAATGAAAGTCATTTCTATAACACAAAGCATTTTTTTTTGCTCTTTCTTTAGTTTATGTTGCACATTTGTTAAACCTTTGTTTATGTAGGACCAGAGACGCAACAGACTGAGAGACTTGCCTCCTTCGGTTCCCAGAGACAAGGTAGAGTTCACCTCTGTGACCGTCACTGAGGTTCTGCTTCTGTTTTACACACTTCAGCAAGTTTACTGTCGCTCTTAAACTACAAAACACTTTCTTCAAATGGTTTGCCTGCTCCATTGTAGTGCTCTTATGTGTTCCAGATTTTAGAGTGTACACCTCTGCTTTGTAGCGCCAGTCTGTTTTCTCTCTATTTTCTTCCTTATGTCTGCTTGTAGTCCTTTAAACCCCCCAGTGGTCAGTCTCTGCCCCCTGTTGAGCCTCCTGCCCAGGAGGGTGAGGACACTAAGGTTTGTCTCTCTCACCTGCAGCCTGATAAGTCTGTATCTGATCTGGGTCTTTTTATTGTGTTTTTAACCCAAACAGATTAAACCCATGACTTGGTCTCTAATTTCACTCTAACACTTTTGGTGCATGCTTATTGTTGTTATTTGAAAAAAAAATGCAGTTTATTACTCTTAAACCTAAGCTTTTTAAATTTTATTTAAAACTCAGAAATGTTTTTTAATGGGTATGTGTGAAATAACTTTTACAAAATGACAAAGAACACCTTTCCTTTTTTATTAATGAAAATTCTAATAGATTTTGAAATGCACCATGTTGTTGTTTGCCCATTTTAAACCAAGATTTTGATATTTGCACACACTGCCTGTTGGTTTTTCTCTTTCTTGTATAAGAAAATAAACTCCTATTAGGAAGTCAAAGAACAGTTTTGGCATGCTACTAATTAAATGTGTTTGCTACCTGTAAATTATATAAGATTATCTGTTTTTCCTTTTTATAAATATTTTCCTAATAGATGTTTATCTTTTCCCTCTGCAGGCCTCAGCCAGTGGCTCTCAGAGTGCTCCCGCTGGTGAACAGGTAGATGGTGGAATGGGCAACTGGAGGGGCATGATCAGAAAGGGGGAGGAGAGTTCATCAAGTGACAGAGTCGTCCCGCAGCCCCCACCTCCTGCAAGCTCCCAGAGAGGCCATGCTGTGAACCTGCTGGATGTGGTAGGTACACTGCAACAGTAAGATACATGAAATCATTTTTCAGAATCAGAGTACGATTTACTGACCAAGTATTTTTACATATAAGGAAGTTGATGTGGCATTGAGCAGAACATACAATGTAAACAAGAAATAAAAAACTAATGTACACGGTTTAAAAAAGGAAAATGTAAGGTATAATTTATATAGAAAAAGAATGTTGAAATAAATGAAGCCATTGACTAAATAAGCTTAATGGAAACTAGCTCATATATTGAGCTACAGACTAGCAGTGGAAAAAAAAACAAAAACATCAATTAAACATTCATGCAGATGAAAAATGTTTTAATTGCTAAATGTTCATTTGCACAAAACGTTCCACTTGAAAGATTTATGGTGCATTCACACCAAATGYGATTTCAGCATCAGGAGCATCAGGTTTACATGCAATGTCTACGGTGGACGCGCTTCAAGCAGCGTCGGGAAGTGCTGCGGCGCCTCAAGCGCGATTACAGCAGCGCGATTTGAACGATCTGAGCGTTCGACGTGCTTGATGCGCTGAGGCACAAATCGCTGAAGTTAGAAAATCTGAACTTTTGCAGCTCGACGCGCCGCGTCAACCAATCAGAGAGACTCCACTGTGTGACGTAGTGACAGATTTCCTGACGGGACAGTTTACTGAATGATGTCCACTAACCTGAAACAGACGGAGAGGAGCTCTTTAGCTGAAATCGAATGCCTGCAGTCGGTGTCCTGACAGGAGATATCTGCATCAATGCGTGGCAGTGACTCATCAGACTGGACTCGGGACAAAAATAGTCCTGAAAGCGAGCTGTGAGCCTCTCCCGCAGCTCCTGGGTGATGAAACTCAGAATGTCTCTGAATTATCTGGTGAATCTTGCCGTGCGAGCGCTTCAAGAGCTGACCTGCGTCTGACCTCAAAGTGCACGAGCGACCAACTTCAGCGTTGGATGCGATTTTGACGCTGAAATCACGTTTGGTGTGAACACAGCATTAGGAATGAACAGATCTGGTGAGAGTTACTACAGGCGAGGTACACCCTGGACAGATTTTTTTTAATTTAGTTTTTATCAAGTTATTGACAAATGCAAAAAATATATACCGTATTTATTCGTGTATAATACGATCTCATGTATAATACGACCCCCCCCCCTTTTTTTTGAGCTTAAAAAGCATAAAAAATTGAATCCTCAAACTACCTCCAATTTCATACAGACTTCAAAATTTTTCAGCCTTTGCACTCTTTATATATATATCAGTAAAATGATCATTGGACTGTTCATTTTATTTTAACAACATATGTCGTAAAAGGTATTTTGACAACAAATATAAATCAGCAAACTATGATTTTGAGATATGTAGCAGCGTCATATGATTTCTGGCATTTTACACATAGTCCACCAGGACGCGCCAACACAAAAGTCAGAGACTTCACATGAGATTTGGGCCATCATCAAGCAGATACAAGCAGATAAATTCCTACTCACGAGCACCCTCTCTGGTGGGGAAACTTTGTTCAGGGATACAAACTTTTTTAGAGCACCGGTAGACGGCAGCCATTAAAGACGGACATGTGTGTTTGCTGTTGTTCCAGCAGCAACTCGGTCACACGCTAATGTCATTAGTTCATTATCATTACTGAGCTGCAGGACTGCCTTTTCCCCCTTTTTTTTTCACATCATGTTGCCTGCTTGGATCTGTTCGCTCTGCAGCACAGAGGAGTGTCAGAGGTGAGCTCGTTTCAACTGCTTTTTACGACGCGGTCTCATTTCCGGGCTCAGTAATTTTGCCGATATTTCAGTTAAAATACATAAGTAAAAATATTTATCCGAGTATAATACTACCCCCAACTTTATGGATGATTTTATGGATTAAATTGTACTTACTATACACGAATAAATATGGTACATTCACAGAATAAAATAATTAAATTATCATTAATGCAGTTATGAGTAACCTTTTGACTTATCAAATAACACAGTCAAACCTGTTTATGCCTGATTGTAAGTGTTTTTATGACCTTACCTGGGTTATGTGCTGCATTTAAAAACCTTTCTGCACCTGTTCTGTGATGCTTTTGAAGACTACGTGTATGTTGTATCATGTTGCTGCCACCAGGGGGAAGTCTCACAAAAAGTGGAATAATCTGTGGTTTAGGTTGCTTTTGTTTGTTGTAATAAACAAGCCAAGGATTTACCTTTTTTTCTTTTCATAAAAATCATTAATTTTTTTCCTTCTGTGTTTCTTTTAACACTACCAGCAAACAAAGTTGTTCTACTGTGGAAAACAATAACTTAATGGTTTTGTTTTGGTGAAGCTTCTGGTGTTGCAGTTTTGCATTCATAAGTGGAAAACCTAAATAGCTGTAACTTTTTCACTCTTGTAATTGTCTAAACCTTTTTGTTCTTATCTCACCACCTTAAGGGAGCTGCTTTTGATTTCCTTTTTCTTCCCAGCCTGTTCCAGTCTCCAGGAAGTTATCGGCTCGGGAGCAGAGAGACTGCGAGGTCATTGAGAGACTCATCAAATCATATTTTCTTATTGTTCGGAAAAACATCCAAGACAGGTATAATTACCCAGCGTTCTGTGTTTATTCATTTATTCATTTTGTCTTTTCCATGGATAATAAAACACAGATTTGATTTGTTTTGACTTTGTTGTTTCTTCCTCTACACATTGTTGTGTTGTTTGGCCTCAGTGTACCAAAAGCAGTGATGCACTTCCTGGTGAATCACGTGAAGGACCTCCTGCAGAGTGAGTTGGTGGGTCAGTTATACAAGACAGCCCTGCTGAATGACCTGCTGACCGAGTCCGAGGACATGGCTCAGAGACGCAACGAGGCTGCTGACATGCTGAAGGTGACAGATGAATAACATGTCGCTGCACACCACAACAAACAAGAGCCAGCATCAATCAAACATTAATTACACACAGATACTTGTAACTGAGACATACTGAGTACTCTTGTGCAGATACTAGCTATTTGTGGATTCTTTGTGAAATCCAAGCAACATCAGCCAAAATCCACTAGATTTTTGCTCTCAAATCAAATTAGTTTAGATACAATGTACGATATCAGTTATTCTGATTAGTCCTAACATTGACACCATATAGAAAACATGTTTCCTCTGTTGGCACGTTTTGTTATTTTGGTGCAGCAGCTCTCTGATCTTTTTACTGCCGGAACTCACAGGGGAAAATGTTGTCAAAGTAAACTCAAAGAAAAAATTCCATGACAGAGTTTCTCTTTTGACCTGCAGTAGACCAAGAAGACTGTTGCAAGTTGTCATCACATCTAAATGAGACATTTTAATGGCCAAAAAACAGCAAAGATGGAAGCTACAGTCAGGTCCATGAATATTGTGAAATCGACACAGTTCATGTTTTTGTGTGTACACATACTGGATTTGAAATGAAACTAGCTAGATGTGCTTAAACTGCAGACTTTCAGCTTCATTTTGAAGGTATGCAGTATACGTACATTAGAGCTGCACACCATATTGAAAATTTATCATCATCACAATAACAGCCTGTGCAATAAGCATATCGCAAAACACGGCATAAACTGCAATAAATGGTTGGCTCAGATATTTGCATTTATGCGTTTTATCAATCGCACAGAAGCTTGAAATGTTTGATCAATCAAATGGAGCCCATCACGTACTTGGCCAGTCGGATGGACCTTGCCCACCCCCTGTGTAGATGCAGGTGGATATCAAACAACTGAGCAAGTTTAGTGAGAGTCACAACGACCGAGAGCAAGATAAGTGATGAAAATATTAGAGACAAAAATTTTGATTAAAAACAGTTTGTCTCTTATTTGATATACTTAAGCTGAAACACTTAAGTATTTGTTCATTTATCGCAGTTATATCATCATCACAATAGTAAGCACTGTTATTGCACATCGCAGGTTTCCTGATATCATGCAGCCCTAATTTACATCCAACTCTGGTAAACTATGTAAGAATTAGTTTTTTATGTGCCTCACTCTTTTTAAAGGGCCAGAAGTTATAAATACTTCAGTCTCGGATCATTCACTTATTTATGTCATTAGAAAAAACCTTAAGAAACCTACAGGTCATGTGCATAATTTCATTAAAAGGATTCCAAAATCAAAGTTACCCATGTTTCATGCTGAGATTGAGAATACTAACTGGAATGAGGGTATTTCTCTGTCAAATCCAAATCGCATTTTGTCAAATTTTTATGAGAAGTTGGAGACAATACAGGAAAAATACAGTATATTTCAACTTGTAAAGTTCCGGTCCGGAAAAATAAAACTCCATGGTTGAATGCCTCTGTAATACATCGCCTAAAGTTGAAAGCTTCTTCAATGAAAACTTATAGAA